GGTCGACCACACCCACACGCCCTCATGCCGCACGGCCGTCGTTGGTTCTAACACAGCCATCGATCAACCACGCCGCTCGACCATGCTCTCACGCTTCTCGACCATGCCCGCACGCTGCACGCCACTCGACCGCCTTCAAGTCGTGACCACCACCCGCACGCCCGCAATCGGTCGCTGCCCGTACGCCCGCTGTGCTGTCCGTCGTCAACCCACGCTATGCCATCGACATTCCTGAAGGTGTGCTTTTCATGGAAAATTTCAATTTTTTTAATTTTTATTATTTATTGCTCAATTTTGCTTAAATACCCTAAATTATAATCTGAAACAAACATGTTCGAATCTTTTAACCCTAATTAAAAAACTTTTAACTATTAATCCTTACTCTACTACATTTTGTGCTATTTGACCAACACTTGTAATCATAATTGAACACCTGAATCATGATATTAACCCTAATTGAAAAACTTCAGCTATTAACCATTACTCAACTACATTTTGCCTTGTTTGAACAACACTTGTAATCATAATTGAACACCCCAACTATGATATTAACCCTAATTGAAAAAAAATTCAGCTATTAATTAACCTTTATTCAACTACATTTTCCCTATTTGAATACTTTTTAAACTATTAACCCTAATTGAGCACCCAAATCATGATAATCGATCTACATTAAGTTTTGTGCGCATTATAAATATGTGTGATTATATAAAATTATGATGTGAAAATGTGTGAAATTAAAAAAAATTAAAAATGGAGTGATATATAACACATTATAATTTTCAATAATGTGTTATATATCTAATTTAGGTGAATGAAAAGATAACATATCCTTAAACTCCCGCCCAATAATTACATCCAATTCTTTGGACTTATAATATGAGATAGACGACTCATATTTGGATAGGAGATGAAGTTTTCTCCCGGAAATGATCATTTACTTTATATTATAAGAAGAAAGAATTGGTATTGAAGTTCGTAATTATTGGATCTGTCCTTTTCAAACGGGTTAGGAATATAGTAGTGCATACATCCAACTTTGTATGCTTTGTATGTTTTTATTTCTCAAAAGTTTCGACAGCACATATTCATTGTTCTTCGTGTACAATAAGCGTATGTTGTACTGCATTTCGATCTATTGCCAATACGCATTATAACATCCGCACAATGTACAAGGAGAACAGCGGATAGGTGCTGCCAAACTTTTTAAGAAATAAAAATATATAAAGTATACGAAGTTAGATGTAAGCACTACTATAATCTTAATGGGATAGACGCCGTTAGAGTGGTATAATTAGTTTCTATATACGTTTCAGATTTACTTTAGGAGGGAAAATATTTTTATTGTTAAATGATATATGCATGTAAGTATAATGTGTGTTGTATGTAAATTTTCACGAAGAGTCATAAATTTACTAGTAGTAGTGAGATTAATTATAGTTAATAATTATATATAATCTATAAGATGAGGATAATTCCTAACAAATTGTGGATAGATATTCCTCAACTTGAAAGATTTTGTGACACGCGATATAAGGAGGGATGTGACGCCTTCATGTGGTATGCCGAAATGAATCAGGGAAAATTAAGTAGCGATGCTATGTATTGTCCCTGTTGTAGGTATAGGAATATGAAGCTACAGAATTAAAATGATATACGGATCCACCTAATAAAATCAGGGTTTGATGAGAAATATAAATATTGGTCATATCATGGGGAAGGCTATATTGAAGATGAGGAGCAAAATGTGTGTGTTGGTACGTTCGGTGGCTTATAGATAGACGACATAGAAACAATGTTAAATGATATTTTTTTTGTCCTATCGAATATGATATCGATAATAATATTGAGGATGCTATCAGAGATGACATTGAAGATGATAGTAAAGATGATGCTGAAGAGGTCGAAGATGTCGAAGGTGCATAAAATATTAAAGATATGCATTCCTTCACAAACATAAAGCGAATAATGGAGCTACTTGAAAGCACCATATTGCCACTAGGAAAGAACCCTAGAGGGAGGGTAAATAGGGTTTATGCTAATCTAATCCGATTTAATACCAATTTAAAACTAATTAATAAATATCCTAGGAAATATGATATGTAACAATATATGTGCAAGGATATACAAGTAACACAAGAGTGAAATAAACATAAACAAGATAAACAAGATAGTGGGCAATATAAAGAAAGAGCACTTGACAATGGCGATATAAACAATAAGCACGAATATAAATGAACGCCAAAGAAAAACGCAAATAAACAATATGATCACGGAGTTCGGTCCCCACAACCTACGTCTCCGCTCCTCACCTCGAGGAGATCTCCACTATCACACTGGGTTTTCTACGCTTACCCGAAAAACGTTTACACCTCACAGTGTCAGTTTTTAACGCTCATCGATCCACGTTCAGAATCACTCACCATGTAACTATACTAACTACCACCTCAAGTGTTGGTCTCTAGCCCGTGTCTCCCTCAAGTGTTAGGAATTACAACCTCTCTCTAGGTATTATCACCTACCCCACTCCTCTTGGGACGACCCCGTCTCTCACCACACACTCCTCTTGGTGTACTAGTGTATTACAAGGTGAACCTCATAATTTAGGCACTCAATACAAATGATTATTCTCTAAACAAGGTGAGAACTCAATTAAGCACAACTCAAAGTTACAATCTCTCACAATCCCAATTATACTATGTATGAAATACTATAAGCTCAAGTGGGTGTGTGTAACAATGAGATTTAATAAAACAAAATCAAACTAAACTCAATATAGATTCTAGCTTATGGAAATGAAAATCAAATATATAAAATAGCTAGATTGAGTTTAGAAAACTTCTCTAGATGACAAGAGAGAGAAGGAGAAGAGTTGAATGCTCAAACACCAATAGATGATCTCCCCAAGCTCTTGTGAAAGTTTCTTCACAAACAAACTCTTAAACAAACTTAAACAAAACTTAAACACCCTTAAACTTATTTTAAATAATTCTCTTGAGTTAATAAAACAGAGGATATGTGGGGGTATTTATAGGAACCTCAAAGCCAAGAGAAAACAAGGCAAAAAGATCAAAAAACCAAAACTGTAAAAGGCTAAAAAAAACTAGCTGTTACAGCATCAGTCGACTGACGGCTTCCATCAGTCGACTGACGGCTTCCATCAGTCGACTGATGAGCTGGTCGTTAGAGGCATTTTCCAGCTCTCAGTCGACTGACGACCTTATCAGTCGACTGACGACCTTATCAGTCAACTGATGATCTCATCAGTCGACTGGTCAGTCGACCAAAACAAAATAAAAACTTTTTAACATTTTAGGCAATTTTTTCAGTCGACTCATCAGTCAACTGAAGTCATCAGTCGACTGACCAGTCGACTGATAACAGGTTATCAGCCTGTTTTGAAACAAAAATCTGATTTTCAAACTGCCTTTAAAAATAGCAAATAAAATCAGAAAAATATAAAACTTTGGAAAATGATTGTAGACATGATAATGAACATGCTACAGAAAATAGTTTTTAAAAATCACCTCCTATTTGTAAAATATCATGATTTTGCAAATATGTCCAAAACATGAAAACATGAGATACTTGAATTTTGATGTTTTGACATAAGCCAAGTTTTGAAACTTTGTATAATGATTTTATAGACTTGATAAAAAATATAAACTATAGTTGTTAAGTCTATAAACCATAAAAACCAAAAACACAATATTTTTTCCAAATGCAATAGAATATGAAACATATAAAAGTATATGTGAAGATATATATTGTTTCATATCTATATAGCTAAACCAAAGCATATATGTATATATATAACTATATATATATACAAAAACCAAAACGTGTATGTGTGTATATAATTAAGCTTAAAGTACTAATACACATAATATAAAACCTAAACTAAATTACCCAAGCTTGATGAAGGTCTTCAATGAGCTCGACTTGGTAAACTCGCAGATGAAGCCTGAACTTGGATCTTCAACTTAAATTGCATAGGCTTCAACTACTATTCTGCCAACCTCCATTGGATATGATCGTGAATGCTCGATTCCATCAATCCTCCAACTTATTGTTTGCCTAGAGTAGATACAAAACACAAACACTAGACAAACAATATTAGATGTAAATTGTTTGTAAATCATCATCAAAACAAAAGGACCCAACACTACTAGCTAGAAGATAGTGAAAAAGACCTATATGAGTGTTGTACCGAATATTCCAGATTTTTATTTATGCTGAAATTTCTACATATTAAGACACTTAGGGGAATGTCTGATAATTATTTTGAAATGCTTATTGATTTGTTTTAGATGCTTCGGACGGTAATTCCTAGAGGAGAGGTTAGCATAAACAACTTATTAGGCTAAAAAGATTGTTTCCACTCGGGGTCTTGATTATAATAGGATTGATGCATGTCCGAATAATTGTATCCTCTACCACAAAGCCAAGACCTTTAAGAGTGTCTGACATGTGGAGTTTCTAGGGAAAAAAGTTTTTACACTTTTCACACTTTTAGAATAATATTAGATATTAGACGCCGGGGATCTTTATAAGAGTGATAGGGGAAGGGTTCTTGCAAAGGATTGAATATGAATCCTTGTTATCTTTATGCATGATGTGTGGCAAGATTGGTCACAAGATAATCACCAGAAATACCAAAGCAGGAAGCGCAGGCAATGGAGGACCAAAGGGCGCCCTCTAAGGACATGTGGTCGTGGTCGAATTCTCATTCTAAGGTCTCATCCTGCAAGCATTCGCCAAGCCACCTAACACTCACAACTACATCGATCGCGGTGATTATTGATTGTCCAAAGATGTCCTAAACATAATAAAATTAGATCTTTCTTATGTTGAGCGACCCACATATCACACATTTAACATTTCTTTTATACTCCTAGAAATTTTTTGTGCTTTTTTTGACTCATCTCATGTTTAAGCATGAAAAATAGGCAGGGTCTGCTATACTTCTTTTAGAAATCCGAAGAAGTTATAGATTTGGATACAGAAAAAAACAGGCTGCTGGAAATACATATTTACATAGTATGGGATTACAATCTATATCTCATAATTTGCTTCCTAATAATATCTTAGAAAGGGTCCCAGATAACACAAGCCCAGCATACATAGAGCTGGAGCCTTTATTTTACTGGGGAACCAGTAAGATACACTACGAGAGCTCCATACATTACACCGATAACTTATGCAGCAAATCTACAACAAAACACAACCAAACAACAAATAACAGCGTCAAACTCTCTTTCTCAACACCAAGCATAATTGTACAATCACACCATATATGATACCGTTTAGTGATAGATCTCAATAATAGAGCGCAATCCAAGCGCAGGAATTATCTTGTACCCCTTGAATCCAGCTTCATCAAACAGCTTCTTCCATTCCTTTTCAGTCCTCTGCTTCCCTGTGGTGTGAACCATCACGTGGATGTCAAAGTGAAGCTGAGTCTCGGTGAGCTTCGGGTGAACTCCGTCTGTAGTGTTCATCACTTTGTCGATGATGATCGCTTTGCCTCCATTCTCTTGAGTCGGAATCGCCTCCTTGCATCGCTTCAGTAGGGTAATGCATGCCTCATCGCTCCATCCGTGGCATACCCACTGCAATCCAAAAAGCAGTGAAGAGATCATTATTTGTAATCATAATTGACAATCTACATAATAAAATTGTAATGTAGAATGCACTGCGAATATATTTATGGAGAAACTAGACCATTAGAAACCCAAATCGGGGCTTGTCGAGGAAAATGACTTGCAACGAAGAACAGTTTATATCTCCCAAACCGTATGTTAAAATTGGACTAATTATGTAGAAAAATCGTATATTTTTTCGGGAAGAAGTAAACCAAACTAACTATTCTTCGATTTGCTTGTGTCTAATTTATGGAGTTTCCTCCGGATTGAGAGATATCAGAGTTTTTGCCAGTTTTTTACTATTTCGGGTAATGCTTTAGAGTTTGTTTTGATTAGAAAAAAATCCTGTTTGCTTTCAAATTTGACCAATTTGTTTCCTCAATCGCAAGGAGTCTTTTAAGTATAGTTTGTTATTTTTATTTATGGTAAAATTCGAATCCTAGTAGGAGTCTAGTTTATTTTTCTATTTAAGCAGAAGATTATAAGCCCTAGTGACATAACTTTTCATCAAGAAACTTCTCTTTATGATATTCTCTTTGTGGACATGAAATTCGTCGTGGATTCGAAAATCATTCTTTGTGAATTCAAAGAACAACCCATGGTGGATTTCAAGTTTTATTTCTTCCATGCTGCGCTAAATTGACAAAAAATGCTATATTTGTAATTATTTTGTCTATTTAGCATTTGAATCATGAATATTCTTCACTATCAAAAAAGAATAGCGAGATGACTATCTTTATCCGCAGTCACATGTTATTTAATAGATGGTTTTGATTTATGGTGAGCGAATAGTAGAAATAACTGAAAATCTTAAAATAATTACCATAAATGTTCAGCATGAAAGATATCACTATAGTTATCTAAATATTAATAAATAATTTTCATCAAAAAAATAAACTATCCACTACTTTTTAATATTAGAGAGGACTAAAAAATTTTTCCCCCTCATTAGAGATGCCAAGAAAGATCCACTTCAGACACATATCGATCATCCGTCATGACTCTCAGACTGATATGTTGATACTTTTTTATGATATGAACAGCATCAATGATACTACTTAAAACACAAGTACATACCTTGAGAATAAGCATATCCGCCGGCGGGATAAACTTAAACATGTCCCCAGCAACATACTCAACCTGGTCGCTCTTCTCCATCGCATTAATCATGTGCGGCAAATCCAACACCGTACACTTAACCTCCGGAAACTTCTCCTTGATCCTCAACGTCATCGTCCCGGTTCCTCCGGCGACCTCCACAAGGCTCTTCACCCCTTCAAACAATTCCCCACAGTCCTCCATAATCACTTTTATAATCGACTGGGAATCACTGCCACATCCTTCTCTCATCAATTTCCCAAACTCGGGCGTTTTGCCCGTGGCCTCCCATATAAACGTCCCATGGAACATCTCAAACGCCGTTGAGGGGGTCTCCGTCTTGAACCATGCGCTTAGGGATTGCCAAGGGTTTAGAAGGGTTTCGTCGAGCATGAGCTCAATGAAGGGGGTTACGGACTGGCCCTTTTCTTTTATTAACGGGGCAGAGTTTGTTGTTAGGATGTAACTGTCTATACTTGCATCAGTACTGGTCTGGCTCAGGAAGCCGTTGTGGACCAAGAGGCGGAGGAAGCGCTCAAAGTTTTGGAGGCGGGCGTCAGGGATGGAGAGGGTTTTGGCGAGTTCATTGAGGGGGATGGGTTTCTTGTAGTTGTTGATGGCGTCGAAGAGGCCGAGCTCGAGGGCGCATTTTAGAGAGAGGGAGTTGATGAAGCTGAAGATGTGGTTCCAGAGGTGAGATTGGGCTTCCAGGAGTTCTTTTGAGGTTACTGCGTCGGTGGCTGCCATTGTTTTGAAGGTGTAATAAAGCTTAACTGGTTGAAGCGCTTGTGCGGAGAGTTATATCCCGGTGGTGGTATTTATAGAAAACTTTTGTGCCTGAAATAGTTTGGATATTTTGTACTAGTCCCTCATATCTTTTATATTTGGAACAAGTCCGTCAAATCACTGGACTGTAACTGCCACGTCCCTTGTATATCTTGCACAATTGTTCCTAAAAGAGCATCTCGATGCACCAAGCTCCCACTACATGCAGTGTCCGAAAATGGGTCAGACTACTTCAGATTTTTTTTAATGAAAGCATTAGTGTTTTATATCTTAACGTACGGGTCTATTGTATGCAGCTTTATCTTTCATTTCTACAAAAGGTTGTTCTCGATGATTCGAATCATGACCTCCTCATCGCAAGATGATAACTTTTATTGTTGCATCATTGCTCCTGATTGCTGAAATAACTTATACGAATTGGGAGGGCCTCCTTGCAATTTCAAGATCTAAGTGACTTAATTTGAGACAACTTATAAGGATGAGGAACCACAAAGCAATTTCAATGATTTGAGGGACTGATTTAAAATTGTAAAAAAATTTAAGGGACTTGTATGGAAAAAAACAAAAATTGTTTAGGGTAATAATTGAGGGTAGTGATCCTCCACCTTCTTGATTGTAAAGATCATTTACAACTTACTAATCTCATCTCCTCGCTTAGTGGATTTCATGAATGATATTCATTATATAAATTATATAAAAATTCTTTTAAATTAATTGTAGAAGTTCTCTACAATTAAGAATGTAGAGAATCATTGCTCATTGAGAAGGATTATTTTCATTTTTTTTATTTTTTTTCTTCTTTTCTTTCTCAGTTATCTTTCTTTTCTCTGACTCTTTTTCTTTCTTCTTCCTCTTCTTCTCTTCCTCTCTATTCTCTCTCCC